TGGTGATGCCTTTATTCAGCAGTGGGTTGACATTGTTAAAGACTTTATTTTCTAAGTATATACACATTGACCGTGAGATTGCATCATTTGTTGAAATTGCCCACGTGTCACCATTTCGTTTCCATGCTTTGTTAGAGACGCGCTGCTTTAGCTGACATCTCGTTGCCAATACGAGGACGGGCGGGCGGGCGGGCGGTGGCTATGCTTCACGTGGCCTGTAATCCGGCCCTGTGAGCGCGAGGGTTGGTGGATAGAACAGCTGTCGCAAACCCGCCTTCCCCGTGGCCGTCGAGGTATTATACTCGCCAGTGGAAGGCGGTGCGAGCAACAATGTGGACTCTTACCTGTTCCTTCTGTATGGGATGAAGCGTCGCTCGCTTCGCGCGCGTGGGTCTTCTCTGCGTACTCCGGGTTTCCTCCCACATGTGAGCACGCATTACTTGGCCTGTAAAACAATATAAACCTTAATATATAGAGGACCGCAGAGCTTGGGGATGTGTTGGTAGCGCCGGCTCATCGCGTGGCTGCCTTCCCGCTTGTCTGTGGTTCCTCCTGGCGCCTCCCGATTCGTTCTCTCTCTACGAGAATGAGCGGGTAGCATGCGGCGCGTTACAAGTGGACTCTGTTATCGTCGTCGCATCGCTCTGGGTGATCGTGGCCACGCGTAGTTGGCTATGGCACGCCGATGAGCACTTTTTTTTTCTGGGCGAAACAGGCCCCAGTGTCGCATTGTACCGCTGGCGGCTTGATGGCCTTTCTGGAAGGGGCCGCTCGCCAACACGGTAACCGGTATTTGCGAGCAGGAGAACCGTGTCGTTGTACAGCCAGAAACAGCCACCCCGAACCCAGCGCGGCACGAAGCGTGATGTTAATGGGCGATGACGAGCCGCGTGTACAGAGTGTTCACATGAGATGATTATTAATGGTGAGAACAGAAGTGGCATAGTCTAAGCTCAAAGGTGTGCAGAGCTCAGCTTAAACTCTGACAATCCCTTCCCATGCTTATATATATAAGCAACACGTGCCTGTATTACACTGGTGGGGGTGGGCAATGGGGAACATCTGATACAAGCACACTACTTCGAATATAAGCACACGTGGTCTTGCTGCCAAGGGGGGAGGTGCTTTCGTTCAGCTTTTATTCTCCCTGGCTTTGACAACGGAGGAGAGGCGGCCGGATTGCTCCAGAGACCGGCACGGCTGAGTTCACATCTGGGTGGCAGCCCAACCCGCGTGAACACTGGGTGTTCGAGTGGAGCGAGCTGATGGCCTCAGACCAGTGGCGAACGGCCGCACACACGTACACACACACACATACACACACACACAAATAAACTATCGTTTTCATGTAGGTTGAGTGCTTGATCTGGCTCAATTCCAGCTCCGATAATTTAAAAAAAGGCAATTATGAATTAAAACTTTGGTGACTGCAAGAATTCACATTCTTGGTTCTTTCGGTAAAGGCACGTAGATAGAAAACAAATATCTAAATTAAAAGCAAAAAAACCCACGACGTGTCGATCGCAACACAAGCAGTCTTCACCTGAAGAAAGAAACAAAGAATATGAATGCCAATTATATTCGTTGGACTGCCGTGTGACAATCTCATAGCTGGGCTCGTGGTAGCATGCACTCCCTCCGACCCCCCGAACGTGTTCAGGACAAAAAGGCCACTTGAAGAATTTTCCAGAAGAAGTCTTCTGAAAGGTTGCTTCTGCATGCCATGCCCTGGCCAACGATGCAACGCTGCTCCGTGAGGTTTCCGAATGGATTCTTTATCTCAGCATATGACGCAGATAGTAGCACTATCGTCATGAAGTTGTGGGGGTGGAAATAGACTCCGGAGAATTGAAGACCAACTTAATCTGAGGCTCTCTCTCTCTCTCGCGCGAACTGGGCCAGCGTCTTGAGTCACTTGGGATATTAATGATGAAGTCGGCACTGCGTATGTGTGCGGTGCATCTCTTCATAATCCCAGGTTAGAAGCTGTCTCTGGACTTGGGCTGGCATCTGGCCCCATCGATCGTAAAAAAAACCTGCGGTCAATCTACTGCTCATTACGGCGCAGTTCCCCTCCCGCTCAGGAAACCGCTACGAAAGCTGCAGTAGTTACTCAGCGTACGGTTGGCTATAGCGGCGAAGCTGTGAATGTTACAAGCGAGGAGAGGGGGGGGGGGCATGCAAGGACAAAGCAGGGGACGGCTGCGCGCACGTGCGTATGGATGTGGGTGGCGGCGTGGGCGGCACTTTGCGCCACGACACCCCGGCGACCTGGGTCTGATTAACGGCCAAGGTGAACGTCCGTGGCGCCTCAACTTAATCTGATTTCCTGCATCGGCTGCAAAGCGTTTGTGCTTTATGATATCTTTTGGGAGATTGGTAACTAACTCGGCGACAGTGACGGATGGCCAAATTAATGTTATCTAATAATGACGACGCTTCTTCAGAGCGCCTTACATCGCATCTCAAACATTTCAAAGGGCATCCCCAGTGGCAGCTGTCCCTGTGACGACAAGGTTGCTCGCTACCTCGCCTGCAAAAGGGCCACTGGTCTGCCGGTCGAGAGACGACGATTTCTACTGTTTTGCGTGAACTCGGTCGAGTAGGTTGCAGCTGCTTCTGCATGCCATGTCCTCTACTAATTGGCGAATTTGGACGCTCGCTTCGGAACAAAATGGCCTCCTCAATTTTCAGTCGTCTATGAACGGGATCTTTAGTTATCTACAACGGGACGTCGCTCTGCCGATTTTTAATCCAGTGACCGGATGATGCATTGTCTGGAACCCCTTTTAAAGGGAGCATCGTTTTTCAGGGAGGGCGGTGTCCTTGACTTGTAAAGTTCAACGGAGGCATTTGCCTGGGCTCAAGTCCCTTGCATGGATTTTATTCGTCTCAGGGCACGACCCCAACAGCGCAACTGTAATCAATTCAGGGTGGGGGAGGGAGGGGTGGTGGAGATGTGAGATTTCCGATTGGATTCTTCATTCTGGATAGAGGACTTGAGACCAGGCGTGTACATCTCGTGAACTTGATTACTCTACTACCGGCGCAGGTTTCACGCGGTTGCTCTGTACGTCTCTCCGACGTGCGTTCGTGTGTTTGTGCCGCGTGTCGTTCGGTACGATGTCCGACGTTTCGGTCCACGTGCTGGGAGCTTCTTCTGGAACGCTCCGCTCCGAAAGATTGACGTCATGCCGAACAAGGCACGGTACAGCCGAGAAGCATAAGGTCTTGTTTTGTTTGGTTAAATCGCGTAAATGTCAATCTAACTCGAAATAAAAACGTTATCGTGAATAATATTGGTCGCGGAAGGCCTACGCCGTTACACCTGAAGACACATGACAGAGCTGACCAGCTTCAGTCTTCCTTTATAAAAGTGCCAGCTTTACTACCCGGCTTCGCCCGAGACTTGGATTCTTGTCTTGGATTAATACACGGAGTTGCGAGACGTCAGCAGGCACACTGCGTGACGTTGCCGCATGGGGGTAACATCACAGATGTGACGTCACCGCTCACTTGCCGTGCAAAATATATCCATTATTGCACCCCCCCCCCCCCCCCCAAATACAAAAGTCTATTTTTATACTTTTTGCATTGTGTACAGTCTGGAAGCTACCCAGGTGCCAAATTTCAAGTTTATTACATGTCAGGAAGTATGCTAAACATTTCGAATAGACACACATATTCACACATTTCCCTTTTATATATATAAATAACAACATAATGCATAATAGAGATGTTTCAGGTTAGATTGAGTATATATAAATGTGTCGTTAAACCCGCCACCACCCGACACAGCTAATTAGTAAGGTTTGTCTGTTAAACAAAACATGCCAATTCGTTACTTGTACAGCACACCGGTGCGTTGGAGAGTAAAACCCACAATATTTAAAATGAAAACATTTACAAATACACGGCATGTTTTTTGTTTACGTGACAAACTTTACTAATTGGCTGCGTCGAGTGGTGCCGGGTTTAACGACACATTTATATTCACGGATCTAACCTCTCTCCCCAAGAACAACCCGTCTTATTATAGATTGGTGTGAGACAGCGGAGTGATTCGCGTCTGCGGAACGCGGGTTCTGCGTGCGCGGTTCTGAGCTGCCCCCGTGTGGCTCAGAGAAGTGGCGTCCCGCCCAGGAGACCCTGCCAAGCCACGACGTTTGCAGCCCAAATCGCTCCCCACTTCCACCTACTCCACAGCATTTATTTTGAGAAATTTGAAAGTTGGAAATTCAGCAAAAAACCTTTCTCATTTATTTGATCGGTTTCATCGCCAAATAAGTTTGCTTTTTTTCTTCCGCGCCCAACTCATTGTTTGACCCGGTGAGAATCCAGATGGTGCCCTTCTGATTGAACGTCGGGCGAGGCCATGTAATATCGATAATTAATTCGTTTATCAATCAATCAATCAATGTGTCTCCTAGACCAATGTCTTCTGGTGGTATTTATTTGTTTACAGCAGCTAATTCCTGGCTGCTTAGACTGCTCCGCGTCTCATCGGCAGCGTGCGGACCCAGTGAACAAATGGTGCTGTTTAACACGTTAGCTTTCGCCACCAATATCATCCATAAAGCAGTGGGGTTTCTTTTCGTGCTGTGTTGCCTGCGCCGTCTACAAGCGAGAGCCTCCGTCGAACACCGCGGGTTCTAATTCAACGCGAAACAGCGAACTGTGGGTAATAAAAAAAGAAGATAATTAATGGACAAAAGTGGTCATTCGGTCACCAACAACAACAACAAATATGACACTTCGGTCCATCAACCAACAACGCAGGAGCATCTGTGTAACACGCCACGCGCACACAACACTTCCGACGAGCCGGGGAAAATAAAAAAAACACTGCAGAGGTTTTTCTGCCCCCTTAATTCACCTTCCCGCAATCCGCCGCGATGAGAGAGAGAGTGAGCGAGCGCGCGCGTGCGCAACGGCGTTTATGTTAACTGCGTAACTTGGCGGTGATGGTGGTGGTGGGGTGCGCGGGGGATGCCTTGCAGACTTTATCGATCTGGAAAGCAACGAGGTTCTGCGAGCCACCCTGGCCGCCAAGAGGCTGCCCACGAGGCGCTACCTCAACTTCGCTCTGGACGAGTTCGGTGAGTCACGCCGACGATCATCACGGCGTCACGGTGGCGAGGAGATGTTGATTGCCTCTCCTGGTGTGCAAGGAGGTCGTGGGTTCGATCGCGACCCTGACGCCTGCTGTATATTTGGAGTTTTGTTCGTGTTCTCCCCGTGGTCACGTGTTTTTATTTCTCCAGGGCCCTCCGGGTTTTCCATGCACATTTAGAATCAACATGACACGTATTTGGCTGCTATACATGTCCACGTGATGCGCCACTCTGTCGAGCTATCGTTTGTGGCCAGGTAGCTTCTGAATAAGAGCTATATAGCTCAGTGAGCCTCACCTGGTAAAATAAAAGAATAGTTTATGTAGATTTTCATCGACAATTTGTTTCCATCTCGGTTGTATCCCAGGTGTGCGGTTTTCAACGCCGCCACGCCGCTTGTGGCCGTCCACACAAGGGGCTCATCCGTTGTGTTGACCTTTCGGATTAAAATTGGCACGATACAAAAAATAATAGCAGCTTGATAAAAAAAAAATTAGCACAATGGTAATAACGTTTCATTTGAATTTCGCGTCATTTGTGCAAATTGCATTTGAAAAGCGCCAAACAATGTTTTACGAATTCAGTCTTCGCACGGAGACGCGCAAAACTCCCGGGCAAGTGAGCAGGCAGCCCTGAACCGGCGCCAGCAATTGCCCAAGCTCTGTGCTTCTATATCGGCGTGATGGGTGTTTACTACGCACGGTGGGAGGAAGCCAGTGAGTGACGGTGATGAGGAGCACGCCGATGCTGTCGATGTTAAAGGACAGCGCTGCGTGTTTCTCTACCCCCCCCCCCCCCCAGGAGTGCAGGTGCAGCTAGACCTACCCTCTGGCTTCACGGAGGATGGGTTCTACCCCCTGCTTATGATCCTGTGAGTGAACCACGAGCCGCTGGCGATGAGTCACTGTCACTCAGCACCACCATGTCGTGCCACTCTCGTATCTTTCTGCGTGGCCACCTCGCCCTCTACGTTCTCAATCTTTGCTCTCTCTCTCTCTCTCTGTTCCTCCTCCCCCTTGTGCTCAATCCACGCTTTGACTCTTGTTCTCTTCTCGCCCACCGCCTTCAGTGAAACAAACTTTCCCCTCCACATTAAGCGGTCACCCCACGACCCCCCCCCCCCCCTTAATCTCCCCCTCATAACCACCACCGTTACATTTCCCTCTTTATAATCTCATTGTATGGCGATCATTCATTAACCCCATCCATTCAATCCATTCACCATCATTTACTGCCATCAATTTCGCTTTCACCGAATTCGCGCATCGTAGATTCGCCCCCATTGCTTCCTCTCATCCATTTCATTCACCTCGTCCCCACCAGTTAAGCCGCTTTATAAATTCCTACGAGATAAGATTGCACCGTCATGCATTGCTTGATGCAGCTGCCAAAAAGAAAACCATCCCAATGTATCTGGCATCGACAAAACAACATCCCAATGATGGAACACTTCCCGAAAATAACTCGATTTGGATTGCATTTGGTAGCATCGTCCGCCCGCCCTCCTACTATACAAAAAACATGGCAGGACCCTACTGAAAAAGAGCCTTGAGACTCAGTGAGGCTTTCCTGTGCAAAACAAGCGCAATTAATGAATAATAATACTGTAATGTGAATGAGCCGTGAAGCATTGGGTCTAATATTTAACCATTAGAGACCACCGGCACTCATGGTAACTGATGATGATGATGTACACCATTGCATCATCATAATCACCATGTCTAACACGTGATATTAATCTCATTCATTCGGGCATCGGGGTAGAACCAGTGGCGCAGTGGTTAACGCAATACACCTGCGTTCTGATTCCCTCCGGCGGCGAACATCAGTGGCGCAAAAACTATATTTCAGCCAGTCCTGGGGACCCCTCCCCCACCCCCCAACATCCTTCGGCAGTCCGCGGTGGCAGGCGTAGTGAAGTATGGCCAGAACACGCGGCATGACTGGCACGGCGTGAGGAGGCCCTCGTCCAACAGCTGATTGACAGAGGGCTGTAACCGTGCGGGTATTAAACCGTGGTAGCGGAGTGAAGCCAAAGCGGTGAAGGCTTCCCTGTACCATCTTTCTGCGGCGTTAAGCGGGGCGTGCGTGTGTGCGTATGTGCATGCGTGTACACGCGTGTGTGGGGAGCGGTGGCGCAGCGGTTAGCGCGCTGCGCCACCAGACCCGGCGACCTGAGTTCGATTCACGTTCACGGCCAACGCCAGTGACGGTTTTCTGAACCGGTTCTGGGTCTCCCCTAGGTCGACTCGGCCTCAAATGTGTACCCGGTGCAGTGTGTATAAACATCAGCACTGGGGAGACAAAAGCGGCCGGCCACCCACCGCCTCGCGTGCCGTGCCGGTCTTCACAGGTGCTGCTCGCGAACGGCGCCTGCACCAGCAGCCTGTTGAAGGCTACATGGGGAATCTTTGCCTTTATCTTTGTGGGGAACGTCGAACGGCAGTGCTGCTGGGGACTGCCCCACTAGGGCTGAACGATTTTGGGGAAATATCTCATTGCGATTTTTCTGACAGATATTGCGATTTGATTTGCGATTACATTTTTGTTAAAGTCAAGCTTCAGTTCAATATTCACTGTGTAATATATTTAAAACATGTGATGGAGCATTACCACATGATACCATCAAAATATGAACTGCTCTATATATTCTAATGCAAGGATGATAACGTAAAAGATATGAATTGCTTCCAACATATAAATACATGTATTAATATTAAATATTAAAATGTTTTAGTTGAAATAGAACAATCAAACATATAACAATTGTTCAGTTAAATAATTAAAGTTACAACAATAAAAAATATAACAATTTCAAAAAGAAAGTAATAGGACTTTTGAAATCGCAGCCTATGCGATTTGCTAATCGCATTGTTTCAAATTGCGATTTCGATTTGAAATCGATTAATCGTTCAGCCCGATGCCCCACACACATACCCTCTGTGTTCAGTGTATTGCTCTTCCCCACCCCCCGCACCTCCGATTAGCACGGCTGGCTACGTGTGGAACAAAAATAAGTTCAGCACACACACGTACACCTGCCCTCTCTCTGTCTCTCTGCTAATGCGTTTCTCGAACCGTCGCTTGCAAGCGTGGTTCCGCCTGTAACCGCTGCGCGTGCGTGTGTGCGTGTGTGTGTGCCTGAAATGAGTACCTGGTGCGGTGTGTAAACATCGCCACTGGGGAGACAAAGGCGGTCGGGCGTGGTGCTGGCCACCCACCCCCTCGTGTACCGTTCCAGCCTTCATAGGTGCTCGCTAACAGCACTTGCCCCTACAGTCTGTTAATGCTATACGGGGGATCTTTGTCTTTGTGTGTGTGTATGCGTGTGTTTGCGCGTGCGTGTATATGCGTGTATGCGTGTGTGTGTGTGTATACGTGTGTTTGCGCGTGCGTGTGTATGCGTGTGTGCGTATGTGTGTGCGCGTGTATGTGCGTGTGTGCGCGTGTATGTGTGTGTGCGCGCGTGTGCGCGTGTGTGTGCGTGTATGTGTGTGTGTGCGCGTGTGTGTGTATGCGTGTGTGTGCGTGCGTGTGTGTGTGTGCGCGTGCGCGTGTATGTGTGTGTGCGCGCGTGCGTGTGTGTGCGCGCGCGTGTGTGTGTGTGCGTGTATGTATGTGTGTGCGCGCGTGTGTGCGTGTGTGCGTGTATGTGTGTCTGTGCGCGCGTGTGTGCGTGTGTGCGCGTGTATGTGTGTGCGTGTGTGCGCGCGCGTGCGTGTGTGTGTGCACGCGTGCGTGTGTGTGCGCGCGTGTGTGCGTGTGTGTGCGTGTATGTGTGTGTGTGCATGTGTGTGTGCGCGCGTGCGTGTGTGCGCGTCGCGCGAATGCAGGGAGGGCGCCCCCGGCGAGCAGGCGGTGAGCGAGCGCGCCGCGTCGCGCTGGGACTGGGCGCTGCACATGGGCGAGCACCCGCCCGTGCTGGCGCGGTGCGACGTGCGCGGCAGCGGCGGGCGCGGCAGCGAGTTCCTGCACGCGGCATACCGCCGGCTGGGCAGCGTGTCGCTGCGAGACCACCTCTCCGTGATCCGGTACGCGGTGAAAGCGGCGTGACGCTCGCGGCGCCACGTGATGCGCCACGTGGCAGTGCGTCACAACGCGATGCGCTTGGGGCACGGCGTGGTGGTGGTGTGACGTAGCGATGTCGCAATGTGACGGTGATGGGACGCTGCGCGACTCGGTACGTCCCGACGCGCGGTGACAGAAATGCAACGTGACACACGCGATGTGAAACGAGGCGGTATGCCGCGACACATGTAATGTGCGCCTTGCCAGCTCGTGAGAAGGATGAAAATCCATGGGCCCGTCAGATTTCGTCAAATAAAATGCATTTAGCACGATGGGAATGGGTTCTGAGTCGCGATGTGAACTGGACCAATTTTTTTTCGGCAAAATTACGGCAGCGCACTTACCTCTGTGGCGCTGCGGTGACAAGGAGATGCTATCTCCCTCGCCTGGTACGCAGGAGTGTGTCGGTTCGATCCCGGACCCTGATGATGCCGGTATATGTGGAGTTATTGTGTTCTCTCTCTCTCTCTCTCCCTCCGTGGTGGTCACGTTGACTTTTCTCCCTGGTCCTCCAGTTTTTCCCTCCACATTTAGAAATGCGCGTCCAGATTATTTGGCTGCAGCTATAAATGCCCACGTATTATATAAGCCACTTCGATGAGCAATCACGCGTGGCCTTTTCGCCTCTGAATAACAAAGCTAATAGTGTAGTGGGCTTTACCTGGTAAATAGAGTGAAATAATTCAGTTTAATGTACTCCGTTCGTGGCCATTATCGAGAAGCAAATTTGTTTTTGGAAAAACGCTGAAGCTGCTCCACTTATTCGAATAATCACATAGGACACTCTTGGATATTTTTGAAAGATGAGTTGTATCTCCTTATTCTCAAGTTAGTTCATGAGCCCGGGAACCAGATGCCCTCTCTTGTCGGTTCTGTCCGAGATGACATCAATATAGCAGTTCCCGTTGTTTTTGTGTGGCCAGTAACGGTGAATTGTGTGACGCCGATTTCATATGTGTGAGGTTTTCGTGAAATTCACTCTCATTGGTCGTATAAATCACATGGGTACCACTACAGATGTGCGTGCCACCTTAGGTGGTGCCAATTTCTACTGTGGCCCATGGGAAACATGTAAACCCAGTAAATAGTTGTAATTTATTTCAGTGCCGGATTATCCCAGTAGCAAAAGTAGCATATTCTACGGGCCCCACACCTTCAAGGGCCCCCTGGTAAATGGTTTCAAGTCATCAATTCCTGTTCATTGATTCTGCGCTTGCTCTATTACTGTAGTACTATACTGCCTTCAACTTTTATGAACGACTGGGTGTTTAAGGTTAGCGATTTGTCGTATTATCTGGATGTATAGCAAATGAAAATTACTTTGCTATGCAAGTTAAAAATGTGTGTTTGTTATATTGTTGTGTTTTTTTTATTTAGGGCCCCTTTATAACATATGCTACAGGTCCCGCACTAGCTTAATCCGGCACTGATGTATTTTGTATATTTGTGTCCAGGTTCCTTTCCACCTTACCCTACATAGATTCAAGCCGCGTAGGTGTGTATGGAAAGGTAAGCATTGCTTCACACGATGCTGGAGGCCTGATTAACTGTGATGGCAAGGATGTCGTTCACTTGGGAGAGCGCTTCATCATAATCATTATAATAATAATAATAGTTCAATTTGTAACGCGCGCAAATTTGCAGACGTAGTGGCCGCAACTCAAAGGCGCGGAGCCAAGCTCAGAGTCATATTCTTCATGTATCATCATCATCATTACAGCCATCATCATAACGGTAAGATGACCACTACCTGGGGAGACTGCACGACACTTTCCATTTCACCAGCCTCAGTTTATACACAACCATGGCCAATCAGAAAGGGATTTGGTCAGCAGCAAGTGTGCAGATGCAACACCAGGAAATTGCATCATCGGATACAAGAGCCTTTATTCAAAATGTGTTTGGGAGGGGAGGTGGGGGCATTTGGACTCATATAAAGAATGCAAATATACACGGCATTTTTACAGAATAATTACTTCAATAAATAACACTCACAGAGGTACGTTGAGCTGACTCCAGACGTTCTTTATTTCGTTTTGGCTGGCGATGAGCCTGTTGGTCCCTTCGGGGAGTCACTCCCTGAAAGTGATTCAACTGGCGTCGGTGCCGTCACTTCTGTCAAATTCTCAAGACTTATCTCTTTAATTCATTCCCCCGCGCCTCTCAACACCCTCAAGTCTACTTCCTAATTAAGCACGTGACTTAACGCGTATCGTCAACGGTAATCGCACTCGGGATGGCAAAAAAAACATCCTAACAACCATAGCTGTCAACCCATACGGTTTACCCCCCTATTCTTGTACGGGGAAATTGAGTTTTCGGGTCCATACGGCGTACAGCCGTTTCAATACGGGCTAAATAAATTGTCTGTTTGTGTTTCTCCCTTGTGATGGGACTTTGTAGGATGAACGTTGAGATTTAAAGGGCACGGGGTGACCAATAAGCTCTGAATTGGTCTGTAATAAGAAAGGTACTGATAAGCGGTTGGAAATACAGCTATCCAGCGGCACGCCTTGGCTCCAGCCATGCTGTCCAGGACAGCAGAACAGACGTAGCTCAGCCCCTTTTAAACATCGCCACGTTTGTCAATGTTATACAATCCTTTCAAGTTCAATCTGTGCGCAACATAAATTTAAATCATGCACGAGTGAACTCCGCGTGCGTGCGTGTGATCGTCCACCGTGGCCAGCGTGTGAGCGAGTGAGCACCGCGTGCTTTCTAGATTTGAAGCTTCCGTGACTGCAAGGATTCATACTCTTAGTTTTTTCGGTAAAGTCACGTAGGTAAAAAAAATGATATTAAAATTAATAAAAAATAACATAATAAAAATCACGACGTTTCGGAGGCAACACAAGTCTCCGTCATCAGGTGGGACCGTCACAGCCAGATTTGCGGTATCACTTGATTTGCTGTATCACTTGATTTGCTGTATCACTTGATACACTTGATACAGCAAATCTGGCTGTGACGGTCCCACCTGATGACGGAGACTTGTGTTGCCTCCGAAACGTCGTGATTTTTATTATTTTATTTTTATAAATTTTAACTTCATTTTTTTACCACCGCATGCTTGATTGTCCGCGCAGGGCTTCGGGGGCTACATGAGCGCGATGCTGTTGAGCGCTGGCGAAGGCCTCGCCCGATGTGGAGTCGTGGTGGCGCCGATCACCGACTTCACCCTCTACGGTGAGGCTCGCGCGTACGATCTCTCTCTCTCTCACTCTCTCTCCCCGCGCGCCACTCGCCGTTGGGTTTTTCTGCTGCAGGATTCGTGACGTGGGCTTGGTCGGGTTGCGCGGCTCCCACGGCTAAACGAAGGGGGGCCGGCGGGGGGGAAAACGTCCCCCCGAATTTCAAGAGCTGGAGCAGAAAGGCGCGACGGGCAACAACTGATCGTGCATCGTTTGCTCGAGCGTTTAACATTTGTTGAAACTGTGTGCGTGACGCTGATTGTGTCGTGCACCACCCTCTCCCTGACAAGGTCAGGCTATGGGAGGTGGGGGACTGCCTCAGCGTTGGAATAATTGCGGTCGTGTGTCTTGTGGGTGGTGTGTTTTGTGTGTTCCCTGTGCCGCCTTCTCCCTCCGTGCGCCCTCGTTCTGTCTGTCCTCAGCCTCCGCCTTTTCCGAGCGATACCTGGGGATCCCCTCTCGCGACGGCAAGGCCTACAAGGTGGGAGTCCATCACCGCCCGCCACACGACTGAAGCCACGCGACTGATGAACAAACAGTCGCCCTAATTAGTGAACACGTAATCGCCATAATTCGGGAACAAATCACTCGACGATGCTGCTCCTGCTTTGGCGGTGGTGCACAATTAACAACAAGAACAATGATAATTGTTTATTTACACTTTTATCTGGCAACAAAACTGACACCTTTTTTACAAGGAGTCATGTTTGCATAGATCACAATACCTGCAGTCATAATGCAAACAAAAAACATAACTCTGATAATGTGCACTGTCCTTGAAGTTGATTGGTCCACACACGAGACAGCTTTCCTTAGAGCCTAGTCTCACATGGGTTGGACCAGATGACGCCAAAAGGCGCACAACTCAGAGACAATGCACCATCAGAGTATGAGAGCTCGGGGTAAGCATTTACACCATTGGAACCTCATTATGACTGCAGGTATTGTGGTCTATGCAAACATGACTCCTTGTAAAAAAGGTGTCAGTTTTGTTGCCAGATAGAAGGGTAAAAAAACAATTATCATATTTTTTTACTGGCAAATGAGGTTCCGATGGAACAAGAACAATGTGCAATGGAGAAGGGCCATTGCCCAACACGTTACCATATTTTGTTATTTTCTGTTCAGGCCGCAGTGTTTTCGATGGATGTGTTTTTCTTGATTTATTGTATTAACTCTTATAAGTGAGTATTTATGCCCAGGTGGGTTCCACTTGTTGGCACGGATAAGAGCTTGGATGAGTAACCAATATGCAAGGCACTTTGTTAAAGGGCTTGCAAGCCTAGGTTTATTTTGGCAGCCGTGTTTAGGTTATGCGCCGCGGAAATCTGTCGTTGTACTGCACCCTCTATGCCGCCGTATATACCGCCTGCCTCCATGAACGACTCGCATGGTGCTCATCCAGCAGTGGAATTTACGAAAATTGACCATGCGTGTGTTTGCTGACCCCTTGACCCCCCCCCGCCTTCCCAGGACGCCAATCTCCTGCCCCACGTGGCCCGCATGGTGGACGGGCGCCTCCTGCTGGTGCACGGCACGGCCGACGGTACTCGCTGCTTCATGTATTATCCTTTAGGCAGACCCTAAACGATGTGCCTATGGCATAGGGGCCGTCCATAAATGACGTCACGCACCTGGGAGGGGTGGGGGGTCAGACATTTGTGACGATGTGTGACGAGGAGGAGGGGGGGGGTTGAGAAATTTGATGTCACGTGAAAATGCGCAACCTTAAATAAATATAGACAACACGTTCTACTTAATTAAATAGACTTTTTTATGTTTTCTCCTACAACATCAGAGTGCAGCGCCACATTAAATACGCACTACAATGACAATAGTTTAAAGCGATTTGAAGCAGGTTTTATTTGGGGGGGGGGGCAGAGCTTTGTGACGTCATATTTGAGGGAGGGGTCTGACTTTTTGTGACGTCGTGTGACGAGGGGGGAGGGTTAAAAAATCGTCCAAAATCGCGTGACGTCATTTATGGACGGCCCCATACTCACTGCAATACCAATACCCGCCATTTGCCACTTAGTGATGGTGACGTCCCCACAGCGCCTGTGCCAGGCCAGGTGCACTTTAAGGCCACGTGAAGTGTCGAAGGCTCGCTGACAGGAGGTCTCGGGACAGACCCAGCAGGTGCCATGGGTTAGCTGACTGAGCTGAGTTGGCTGACTGACTGGTTGACTAGTAACTCACCCACTCACTCACCCACCCACCAGGGCCGTATTATCCAATAGGCACTGTGCCTAGGGCCTAAGCAAACTAAAAGGGCCTCCTAAAACAATGTGACCATGTTTTTCTTTGTTTGTATGATTTAACAAAAAATTACCAAAATATCTTCTTTATCAGTGCCTGTCTTATTACAGACCAATTCATAGTTCACCCCGTGCACTTACAAATCTCAACGTTCATCCTCCCCTATGTCGACTCAGCCTCAAATGAGTACTCGAGGGGGTAGTGGTGGCCGCACCACCCCCTCGTGTGCCGTGCCAGCCTTCGTAGGTGCTACTCGCTAACAGCACTTGCCCCAGCAGCGTGTCAAGGCTACACAGGGGATCTTTGTCTCGTGTGTATTTTTACACGAGTGTGTATATGTGTGTGTGTGTCTGTGTGTTGTTTGTGTGTGCCGTGTGTGTGTGCTGTCTGTGTGTTGTTTGTGTGTGCCGTGTGTGTGTGCTGTGTGTTGTTTGTGTGTGCTGTCTGTGTGTGTGCTGTCTGTGTGTTGTTTGTGTGTGCCGTGTGTGTGTGTGCCGTGTGTTGTGTGTGTGTGCCGTGTGTGTGTGTGTCTGTGTGTTGTTTGTGTGTGCCGTGTGTGTGTCTGTGTGTTGTTTGTGTGTGCCGTGTGTGTGTGTCTGTGTGTTGTTTGTGTGTGCCGTGTGTGTCTGTGTGTTGTTTGTGTGTGCCGTGTGTGTGTGCTGTCTGTGTGTGTGTGTCTGTGTGTTGTTTGTGTGTGCCGTGTGTGTGTGCTGTCTGTGTGTGTGTCTGTGTGTTGTTTGTGTGTGCCGTGTGTGTCTGTGTGTTGTTTGTGTGTGCCGTGTGTGTGTGCTGTCTGTGTGTGTGTGTCTGTGTGTTGTTTGTGTGTGCCGTGTGTGTGCTGTCTGTGTGTGTGTGTCTGTGTGTTGTTTGTGTGTGCCGTGTTTGTGTGTGCCGTGTGTGTGTGTGCCGTGTGTGTGTGTGTGCCGTGTGTGTGTGCGTGCCGTGTGTGTGTGCTGTCTCTGTGTGTGTGTCTGTGTGTTGTTTGTGTGTGCCGTGTGTGTGTGTCTGTGTGTTGTTTGTGTGTGCCGTGTGTGTGTGGTGTCTGTGTGTTGTGTGTGTGTGCCGTGTGTGTGTGTGTCTGTGTGTTGTTTGTGTGTGCCGTGTGTGTGTGTGTCTGTGTGTTGTGTGTGTGGGCCGTGTGTGTGTGTTGTGTGTGTGTGCCGTGTGTGTGTGCTGTCTGTGTGTGTGCTGTCTGTGTGTGTCTGTGTGTGTGTGTTGTTTGTGTGTGCCGTGTGTGTGTGTGTCGTGTGTGTGTGTGCCGTGTGTGTGTGCCGTGTGTGTGTGTGTGCCGTGTGTGTGTGCTGTCTCTGTGCCGTGTCTCTGTGTGTGCTGTCTGTGTAGACAAGGTGCATTTTCAGCACACGGCAGAGCTCATTACTCACCTCATCAACGCTGGGGCCAACTACACACTCCAGGTACAGCCCTCTCGCATCGTCGTCGTCAGCGTCATGATCATCATCATCATCACCGTCGGTGCTTCGCTCGCTACATTTGCCGTCATGAAAAACTCAACACACTCATCAACAACCGCTGCCCTTGAAGAGCAAAGGTCCTTCCTTGTGTGCTGTGAAAGAAGGGCTGTTGCCTGAAACGTCACCGGTTTTTATTTTATTTTAAGGCCGCGGTGTTATCACCGGGTGTGTCCATTGTTGTTATCGAGGGTGCCTGTGCACCACTGTCAAACTCTGCTCACTGTCATTGCCTTTGGCATCATCATCATCTTCATCATCAGCTATTCCACCTTCAGCATCACCTGCAGTACCAATCGTCTATGGCTGCCTTGTCGTTAAATGAATATGCGCAACACTTCTTGTTGCTATGCCCAGCGTCCTGACGTGCGGTCACGTTAAGTCACTGTGCCCGACCCGAATTGTGTCGTACTGTCGTATCGCGTTGCGCGTGCCGCAACGTCGCATTCGTTGTGCGCACACACACGGGTGGCTGATGTTGTTTAGAACCGCCTCTTGTGTTCAGTTTGTTGTCCTGCCCCCGCACCTCCGATTAGCACGGTTGGCTACGTACGGCGCGAAAGAAGTTCAACGTACAAACATGTTGAACCCCAATGTGGCCCAGCAAGAGAGCGAGCGAGAGGCTCGCAGTCAGATGGTTGAGAGTTCAAATCCTGGTTGGGTGGTTGACTCAGTCCATCATTCCTCCGCGGACGATAAAATAGGTACCACCTTGTGGGGAAGTCCACGTGAGCATGTTGAACTTCGTTCGCACCGCACCGTGCTAATCGGAGGTGCGGCACCGGTTTGTCCTATGGATAGACTCAACCCCCATCATAGGAATGTGGAGTCTGCACCACGTCACCAGCTCGCTCCTCGGTCACTTGTGACAACTCGGCTTCGTTCGCTTGGCACGCGCTCCCCAGATCTTCCCGGACGAGGGCCACACGCTGCTGGACAATCACTCGCGCCGCCACTTCTACCGCAGCCTGCTCAAGTTCCTGGACGACTGCTTTGAGCCGGCCGTCGTGCTCATCACCTACCACGACAAGGGCGACGATGACGAGGAGGAGGAGTAACGGGGAAGAGGAGGAGGAGGAAGAGGAGGAAGGGGAGGAAGTGACACAGAGAGCCGATGGTGGGAGGCGAGGGGGGAGGGGGCGGCGAGGAAGTGGGGCATTAGGATGAGTGATGGCGATGGAGACAAACAAGTGATGACTGGACGGTTGTGATGAGGGAGAGGAGGGATCGGGTTGTGGAGAAGTGGTGGTGTCGAGTGGCACGGAGGAATGACGAAGAGTGATGGGCTACGGTTTGACGGGGTGAGTCGTGATGGGGTGAGTCGTGACGGGGTGAGGTGTGACGGGGTAGTGTGTGTAGTTATGAAGAGGACGCATGGAATGTAGAAGGATTCACAGTTTGCAGTCGTGAATAGGGGACTGACTTTTGGAGCGACTCAGAGCACTCACGAGTGTTGACGGGGAGTGTTGCGGAGAGGCTGGGAGCGTTAGCGAGTGTCGATGTGGAGCGGCACAGAGTCATCATCCACTGATGCGTTCCTGTGATTGCCTCAATTGCACCCTTCTCCAAATGTCAACCCCGAGCCCCTGTCCCTTGATCCTTATCCACGTGCAGAGAGTCCCACGTGGGGTGGAGTGGAGTGGAGCGGCTGCTGCTGCTGCTGGTGTTGCTTTGTCAGTGGGCGGTAGAGTTTTCCGAATGACTCATTGTCTCTCTTTACATTTATTTGCGAACTACATCCCGGGATCTTGAACACCCACTGTTAATCAGACAGCGACGTATCATCACGGTTAGTGCACACCGCAGCAATAACCAGGGCGGCCGCTGGTTTCGAACCGCGAGCCTCTGCAATAAAGCGTCGAATGCGCTACCGCAAGGGCCGCCTCGCCAGAGTCAGCGATGAGTGATGTCAGAACCAGTCCTGGGCTCCAACCCCTCACCCCCTCACTTCACCCATCCGCACTCAACCAACGCATTGAAGTGCGCTCGCTTTTAAAAAATAATAACACCCGTGACCATCAGGCTTTAGAGATGCCTCTCTCCGTCGGTAGATCGGCAAAGACTGAAAATGACTATATAATCTTAACCCCCCCCCACACACACACACACTTCGTCACGTGTAATTTTAACGGCTCCCCTTTCTGACCCGCCACCCTTACGGCCGCAGGGGTAGAAGGGGAGAGAAGGTTGTGGGAGGGACAGAGTGAGAGTGTCAGAGTCCCCAGAGCCTCGCGGGCACACCAGACGGGGGGAGGAGGGGGGGGATGGACAGAGCACAGACGGCTCGGGCTAGACAACCACAGCCCGAGAGGCAGAGGGCTGTTGGCCACGTGTCACGGCATCGTCACTCACACGCGCCGTTACGATGCCACGGCATAGGGCAGGGGTCGGCAACCTACGGCTCCGGAGCCGCATGCGGCTCTTTACGGGCTGCTTCTTGACGATATGTACGTATGTACAGTATGTACTCAGATGCATTGCGGCTCTTGAAATACTGAATTTTGAACCGAATTGGAAAGAAATGGCTCTTCTTGTTATTTTGGTTGCCGACCCCTGGCATAGGGTATAACTGTTCACACGCGCCACCTACGTATTCTCGATGTATATATATATATTTACACACATGCGCGGGCGTGGCTGTTCGTGGTTTCGAGGGGGCGTTTTGTAGCACTACTCGATTGATCTTTTGGACAGGCGCGACGGTCGTCGATGCGGAGCCGAGTAAGACATGCCCACGGGCAACGGGCATGCCTCAGGGTTGCCACCTTGTCCTCTGGAGAGAAGAGAACCCGGACAAATTTCACAGTCGGCACTGGGTCAATGATCCGATCTGTGCCGTAGTCTTCTGTAATAAAGTTCGTGCACGGCAACGCCGGTAGCAGATCTCGGTACGAATTAATTCCTGCCCCGAGGAGTGGTAACAAAACGTGGCAGTTTACCGTAAATAAAGTTCAAGACAATGCCAGTAGCAGATCCTCGGTACAAATAAATCCCTGCTGCCACCAAATGGCAACTGTCAATTCCTGGACTGTCGGGGTCAAACCCAGGTCAGAGCCAGCCATGCGGCGACCCAAGCGTATCGGCTGCGTCTCGACACGAACGGCGGCGTTCGTCGTTCGCGGCTCGCAAGCCCTCCCCGTGCCCGTGGTCGTTCTGCACAAAACGAGAAGAGGTTTTCGGCGCTTGGGTCGCGCAAATTGTTTTATTTTTTTTGCCGACGGTTATCAGTCCATGCCTGGTGGATTTTTATTCGGCTCTGCGTCTTTTGTCAAACGACGACGACGATGATGATGATGATGATGTTGGTGACTGAAATAATGTTGATCAACATTCATGGCAAACTGACGGTAATCGTTCTCACGCGGGCGCAATGATCGTCCGTGATGATGATGGCGGTGTTGGTGTATGACAAGTGAAAGTAATGAGTTCAGTAATTAAAGATCTCCAACCGACGGTGCATATTTCAATTTAAAACACCCAATTAAGGTGACAGCAAATACATAAGTTAATAAAATCAGCCTTTGGAAGCGTTAAACATCAACTCTAATTCACAATGTGAATCGAGTATGACGATGGGCGACCCAACGCAAAGTGGCAATGCCAATCAATTTGAGCTTAGAAGGGGGGTCCTCTTACCGTATTCTCCAGATTATTAGATCCAATTTATTTCCCCTGTATTGTAAAGCAAACGTTCGCGATGCGTCCTCATAATCTCGCTTTTCAGAGTCACCATCCCGAATTCAGTTCTCCGTAGCAATACAGCGACCCCCAAGAGGACAAGCAGACGACACCACGAGCTGCTTGGACTCATCTTACCGACCTCCCCATCATAAAGCAGTGCGTTCATAATCATTCATTTGTCCATCCTCTGCGGCTCATTCATGTGCTCCAAGCTGCATGGCTCATTCGTATATTCCACGCTTCGTGGCTCATTCATATACTGACCCCCAAAACAAGTCGTCGGTTGCATCTTGCTAATGCGGAGAATTCCCGGAAATTCGCCGCTTTGATCTTCGTGGGGTTTATTAAATTGGCGAATCGACGATTCCGTTGGAGGCCTTTTCATTACTCACTTTCTCGTTGCTCTCTCTCTCGTGGCCGTGTGTGTAATGTAAGCAATAGGCTCCAGCTACTTGGCAGCAGGGAAAGGGGGGTGGGGTCGTGGGGGGTGTGTGTTCAACAAGCGGGCGTCAACTTCGCGTTGTGAACTTTCTCAGAGTGCACCCAAACACGCGGCCACGGCTCCTTTTGCACCTGATTGGCCGAAGGCTCTCTGGAGGTTTGCGACCACGTTGGAACCTACCCAGAACCACTCCTGGGTTCGCTAACCTTTGCATTGATGGGGGGGGGAATGAGCGGGTGGAGGGTAACGCCAGGTATTAACCAGGTAAGTGTTGTATTTGGTTAATTTTGTATTATTTAATTCACGTTAGACGAGTAATTATCACAAACTAAAGTTGTCTTTAACTTTCAAATCAACCTCTAAACTGTTAACATCGAATGTTAAGGGAAGGGCCCTCTTCTGTCTCACCCCCTCGGCTGCAGCGTCTCTCCACGACAATTGAATCATCATTGATTGGTTTTCGACAGGAACATTTACTCGTGATTCATATATTTTACTGTTGACTTGAAATCAGCTCATTCCTTAATGTATCTAGCATCTCCTGCGTCGGCCACGGGCTTTTAATAGTTGGTGGCTCTGAAGTAATTTGCTTTGTTTATTTTGTTAAGTCACTGAGAACACGAAGGGCAGCACTGCTTGGTCTGCCAGGTGAGAGGTCTCTTTTGCGCTGCTGTTGCTGCTATTATTATTAGACCCTGAATAAATTCAAACCTTCATTTTCGTTGGTCTGAAAAGCGACTTCGCCAACTCGCATGCGATTGGCCGTCGAGCAGAGCTGCTACTTCTCGCGTGATTGGTCGGCGGGTGCCGGATATCCACACCCCCAACGTACGCGTGATTGGCCGGCAGTCCGCTCAACAGCGCACGTCATAGGCTGTGCATACCTAGCAGCCAATCGCAAGTGAGTGGGCACAATGACCCCGCCAGCCAATCGCACGTGATTGGATGTCACCGCGATTTGTTTTGCAGAGTGCGATTTGTACACGTGCATGAGGGGAGGGATGGGGGAGGGTGTTCTCTATGGGGGGGGACTGCCTCGTTTTTGGGTGCACTTTGTAAATGTACAAACTAATGGGGGTGTTGGGTAAGACCAGTTCCGAAGGCCGTTATGTAGAATACGCTGCGGTGGAAATGTATAGGAATCTGGTCCACACTTTGCGATTATTCGGGTGACAAAAGAGCAACTGGCACCAAGATCGTCGCTGTGTCGGTGCTCTCACCACATCTCGTGAAACAGCACGAGATGATGTGGGTGTGACGATCATCACACACACGTGGTTCTATGGCCCCATGCCGGTGCCCAAGTGCTAGCTACACTTTAATCGCGCAAGTAATTGCAGCACGCATTGTTCACTGATGATGTTTTTTTTGGGTCAAGGCACCCTCTGTGACTCGCCATAGCCAAACGGGTGAAATTGTCACGTGCCATACGAGCGTTTAGGAACGTGCCGAGGATTTTTATTCTTGTTTCAGCTCACCCACCGGCATAGTTGAAGGCCATACTCACTCCCGAATTGGGCAATTGGAGAATTGCGCTTCGTCGAAACCGGTGGGGTGGGCGACCTGAACAAATTATAATTGGCCCGTCGTTAAACGCTTATATGCCAAACTTGATTTGTATGCCGCGTGACGATTTCATTCGTTTGGCTGTGTCGGGTGGCGGAGGGTCTCGCGATAGATATATGAGCAGATGATGACTGCGTGACCGAACCCAGAAGCGAATCACCACTCCCGAATATTTGGCTGCGAAAAACCGCACGCGTTAAGTCACGGCAAGCGTGATATCGATCCCACGTGTGCTTCCGCAGGCTGGCAAAGCCTCTCCGGAGCCCTCTCGAGTGTGAGTTGTCGTTTCGAAGGGGCAACAGCCAAGGATGGGTATCGCGTTGTGGTCGCGCCGCGTTGCGCTGTCAGTCACGCTGTGTGGACCGGCTTCATCGAAGGAAGGAAGCCTGATATAAAATATTCTTAGGTTTTTTCGGTAAAGTCACGTAGGTGAAAAATGTAAAATTAAAAATATTTTATTTTTATTTTACTTTTAATAATTTAAAATTTTCACCTGAATAAAATATTTTTATTTTACTTTTATTAATTTTATTTTTTCACCTACGTGACTTTACCGAAAAAACCTAAGAATATGAATCTTTGCAGTCACGAAAGCTTCAAATCTAGAACTGATATAAAATGACACACGCCACGCACGTTACTTTACACATTGTGAATAGACGGCCCACGGATATCACACAAGGTGCACCGTCGCGATGGTTTTCCAGTCCATTTGTATTAAAGGAAGATACAACCCAGACCAGAATTGGGTCCTACTTTATTCCGTATACGAAATCGATGACGGTCCGCGGACAGTCCGTTCGTTTCGACGGTGCCCCTGGAGTGCTGCGTTTCCACGGCAGTGAGGACCCGAGGCTGTGCCAGGACCGTGCCGAGAACAGCCCGGTACGAATCGTGTAATTGTGCCAACACTTTATGATCACGCGGAATCGAACCCGGTACCTCTCGGCAGTTCCACCCAGCCGAAACGATCACCTGGCGTATACGTACTCTGCTGCTTTTGATTCTGAATTTTTTTTTGTGTTCAGATCGTGAAAGGGAAATATGTGTCGTACACCGTCATCCACCTGACACGGCCAACATAATATGTATTTATAGTGGAGGAATCCGATGAGCTATGAAATTATTTTTCACATATGTCCGGCTGTTGTCACGTGAACCAAGGTGCCAGTTTATTCCTGGTTCAGCACCACCACAGATGTGCTGGAGAGCGATCCACAACACACGTGCACTGCTGCATAGCATCGGCATTAACATCTCCGATTTTATACTTTTTAAGGCCACAGCGTGTTGAGTTGCTTATTGTTGGCGGTGCTTGTGCACCGCTGCCAACGCAGTAGCAGCAGCAGCAGCAGCCGTGTTCCCAGTAGCAGTGCGGTAATCACCGTACCACCCTCCACTCCGCCCCTCCCGCGTGCCCGCGCGTATACCCCTGTCAACACTCCCCCCGTATCCAATTAGAATGAGGAGTACTACGATGTCATTTCACTGAGACAACTTTAATAGATTTCTCTAAAAATAATCACAGTCAATTTGTCATTTTTAAAAGCGTATATTGGACAACCTTACAAAACTGCTTTTCAGAATTGGTAATATTTGGCCAATGAATATATCAGTATTTTGTGCATGGGAGAAAACCTGAGAACCAGGAGAAAGAAACAAAACCCAGATGTGTAAGGTGTTAATACAAACTAATTGTCTCTACAAAACAAATTAAGGTTTTGAAAAATAAAATATTTCACAACTCCCTTTGCCAATCCCCTGCTGAATGAAGGCCCTCGCCCCCGCGTCGTGATGGGACGGCTGTCATCGAGTGGCCCCCTAAGCTAAAACAAAGCTGCACCCCTTTGAGACAGACATCCGGTAGATCGGTGGCGCAGCATGACCATTGCGTTGTTGCTGCTGGTGGGGGCGTTGCTTAACCATACTTCACCACGCTGGTCAGTGCCCATTAGTTTGGGAAAGATGTTCTAGCCGTGGCCACGGAACAGGAAAGTCAAGCAGGTGCCGCGGTTCACGGAGCACGTGTGAGGTTTGAGCGCACGCGACGAGATCGGCACGCGGGGCCCCACCGCGTGCGTGGGGCGGCGTGGTGCGAGCACCGTCCCGTGAGGGTGGTGACGATGCAACTCCACGGCGACGCAGCGGTCGAGCGACAGTCCCTGGTGACCTGCGGACGTTTCGCCCCGGCGCACGCAGCGGCAGCAGCCGGGAGACGTCTCTGCTCTGACGAACGCTGTTAGTTGCACACCCCGCCTCCCACTGCGCACGCCCCCACGTGCCGTTGTACGTGAACGTGTCCCTTGCGCGCTTTTGTAAATCTTATTAATGTAGCTGTTAGATGACGAGGTTTATATCGAGGTGGGCGAGGGGATGGGTTTGGGGCGCGTTCGTCGGCTGACAATATCAATAAGAGTCCGTTTACACAGACATCGGTTTTCATATTTCGTATCGATTTGTGTCTGTGTCGCTGGGAAGAGGCGGGTGCAACAAATATTTATGGGAGGTTTTTTTGTGTGTTGTGACATTGTCGTATTCTTGGAATCCGGCAAGCTTCCCTGGATGTGGTCTCTATCCATGCTCGTTGAGCTTGGTCACAAAAGCCACCTTGTGGCACGGAGACCGGAGGTCAGGAGTAGGGAGACACGTGACTCTCATTAGAATTAAAAACGAACGCTTGTCTAGCACGATAGCGGAGCAGCTTTTGGGTGATGCATATTACATTTTAATAAATTATTTCCCTTTCATATATTCGCAAAGAAAATATATTGAAGTCTACTGGTCCCTCCAGTGAAGCTCCCTAGAGCTCTCGGAAGTGGCGGCCCCTGTGCCAGCAGTGACATGAGCAAGACATTGCAGGTCTGCACCTCTACCTATCGGCCTATTGCGCTTGCTTCAACGGATGCTGCTGGTTAAATACAATTACGGAGGGGGCAATAGGCAAAATTAGCTCAAACATATATTTTTTTTCTTCATGTGGGAATATGGAATGGAAATTGCTTAATTTATTTGTGACAGCTTATGCAGCACTTGTTTGAGATTAAGGTTATGATTATTGTTTCATGCATTCAACCATAATCTCACAACCCTCCTGTTTTAGAACTTAAATTGCGCATTGAAGGGTCCTGTTTCGGGTATTTGACCAGTTGTTCTTAGGGTATTTTTATTTGTAGCAGGAACTATGTGTTAACAGAAAACAGCACACACACAAATACCATTGCACTCATATCCCATTATACATACACGGCCTACTTTGTGTACTGCTTTCTTAGGCACTGCCTCACTGGCCTGCAGATGCGTGCTTGACACGTGTGATTGCTCCATCTCTGTGCTATACACCAACCCCACGTCCAGGTCTCTTCATTTACAGGCATGGCACGTAATGGCTGCAACACAGGGCATGATCTCATGTGGGGGTGACTTCCAAAATGTTTGAAACATGTTTAAAATGCCCTTTCCAAGTTCCATTTCTGATCTATAGAATTCTACACATCATCAGCTGTCCCTGTAAATAGCATTGTTAAAATAAAAACAAGTCTATTCAAACCCTCGAGTTTCCCTTGTTTGCATTTTTGAGGTGCGATCTATGAAAGAAATACAAATTGTGTCCCAATCATTCGCATCTCTTCACAATTAGACCATGGCCCATGAAGTGGATATCACAGAGCCGTCTCAGAGATCCATTCACGTGACCCTCTGGTCCACACCAGGAGAGGCCATCATTTTCCCCGTGTGCTCTGTCGCTGAGAATAATGCCTGTCGAATGACAGGTCGACCATTATTTTATTTTTATACTCGGAGATGTGGTTTAGCCAAATTAAGGGCAGCACCAAATTTAACACAGCTCAGTCTATGGGCCTCTATGTGAGTCTGTGCGTCCCGATGTGAGACATTGGGGACTGTACAAAAGACCATCAACTTACTACCTTTCAAGAACTCGTGCCTGGATTCGAACCCAGGATCTTAGCAGCGCCAGCTGAAGCGCTCTGAGATGCGTTAAAATTTTAATTATTTCTAAGTCACAATGCAGTTTTATTTTTTCAAAAGATTGTTTGTTATCCTTAATGTGGCCTGAAACCTCGTCTCCCTGTATTCTGGAACATGGTCTCAAGCCGCCGATTTTAATACCAAATATCCTAATAATGTTCCTACAATTTAACATGTGGGCTTTCGCGACCAATAATATTCATAATATAGGTTTTTGGGTCAGATCGCGTTATTTATAAATGTGTTGTAACCCTCCACCACCCGATACGGCCAAACAGTAAAAAATGTGTCACGTTTTTCAAAGGACAAAATAATTCACTTATTTAGCCCGTCGGTTGTCCTGAAGAGAGAATCAACAGCATTTTAAAAATTTGAGTACGACGTTTCGCTGATAATTACAATCAGTTTCACAATTCTTGCCCGATGAAGCTGATTGT